CCGCGCGCAGTCACTCCGCGAACAATGCTCCGAGGCGCCCGGGCGGGCGGCGGACCGCTGGGCCACCGACGGCGAGGCCCGGGCAGCGCAGCCCCGAGGTGAGCCCCCCGTGACGTTTTCTCTAAATCCTCCCTCTTTTTGTCTGGCAAACGTGGCCGCACTGGGAGGTGTGCGGGGACGCTGCGGTCGCTGAGCGAGCTTGCTCTGCCCGGGTCCCGGTGACAGGCGGCTCGCGGCTCGGGCAGCGTCCGGACCGCGTGCACCCGGGCTGAGCCCTCGGCGGGGGCGCCCGGCGGGGGTACTGGGGAGAGCGAGGGGCGATTCGGGTTCATTCGAGAAACGCTCCATGCAAAGCGGGGAAACTTTCCCTCGAGTTCCGGAGGGGCCGACCGTTGTGATGGCTTTACTGGTCCTGCAGGTCTGGCCGCTGTGGGCAGCGGGAGACTCAGGCGCTTTGCGGAATGCTTTCCACCGCGAGTATTGTCAAAGGAAGCTGGAGCGAGAGGCTGCCGGGCTGCTGGGACCGGTGATAGTTTGGGGGCCCAGGGTGACTACCTCTCTCGCAGCAGCGGGTCCCAGGAGGGGGCGCGGGGATGCCCTTTCACACAGCCGCAGACGAGCCCGCTGAAACGTAGACTGCGGGCACATTCTCAACCTCTGATCTTGCGCCCCCTCCCCAGCCGGGGACACACACACGCGCGCGCGCGCGCTCGGAAAATAGAACCTCTGTGTTTTTGAGTCCTGAGAATGGGAATGGAAGCGGCTGAGTAATCTCAGCAAACAGCGTGGACTGTGTGCATGTTTCTCCCAGGTAAAGCCCTGCCCGCACAGGGTTTTTCAGAGCTGATAGCAAAGCCCAAAGGTCTAGGGGCAAGGAGTTTTGCAATGCATTCAGTGCAGAGTCAGGTTCGGAAGGCTTTATTGATCACTGGCCTGAAGTATCATTAACTAACCCTCTCCTCTCCCTTTTCTCAGAAGGAAATTTGATAGGAAGCCCTAGAGAATTCTTCAGTTAGTTCTGCTGTCCCAGTGTCCTGTGGAACTCGGTATCCTTATTGGTTTACAGTATAGTGGCTGCAAAATTACATTCCTCCTTCTGGGATTAGATTACATAGCATTGGACAAAGAAAAAGAAAATTAAAAGTTACGTGAATATCATAATTTACCCCGTGTGTGTGTGGGAGGGGGGTAACATCATCACTTCCTCCCTTCTGCCTGTCCAGTCTTGGCCCATGCAGATTATTGAAATCCAGACACTTTGCATATACATTTCCCTTTTCAGATGTTGCATTAAATGTATAGTTTTTCTAAGTGAGTTTTCCTCAGTTTTGTCACTTCAGGGTAAGGTGTAAGCAACTTCTGATGCAAGTATGAAGGGCATTTTGAACCCTTATTTAATTGTATGGGTATCTGCACCCTGAATTCTTCAGATTTTTTTAAAATGGGGTTGAAGTGTATCTGACAACTTCAGCCTTGTAAATTGTGGCCACAAATTCGGTGCAGAAGTTTGCAGAAGTAAAGCTATTTTATCGTGGCTTGGATCAGAAGGAATGCTGAGATCTTTTTCTAATCTTACACTTCAGCCTCCCACAGAAATGGGGGAATTTGCATAATTCTGGGGGCAGGTTCCCCTCAGAGGTAAGGAATGTGGGCTGGGAAGGTGCCATTCCCAGGCTCTGCAGAGCCGGCACTGGCAAGGCCAACAGCTCCGCTCCTGCTCCTTAGCACCCCTCACGTGTTGCACCACCTTCTACTTCAAATAAACAGGAGGTAATTCCAGGCACGGAAGCACAACTGGCTCCACAGACATGGTTGTGCATTCAGCGAAGCCAGTTTGCATAGACTGGAGTGCAGCAGTGATGGTGGGAAGCCTGGATTTCACTTGATCCCCTTATTCCACAATTACTCCTGAAAAACTGCTGTGTCTCTGAGCAGTTCTGCGGCGAAAATGGTACTCAATGTGCAATGAGTTTCGGAGCTAAGGATGAAAGCAAAGAGGGTGCACAGACATGATTCTCAAGAAAAACATCTGGCACAAGAGTAACCTAGAACCTGCCAGATTCTCAGGCTGCTGGTCGGCCGATGAAAGGGGACAAAGGAGGAGACCTTCGAAAGTAGAGGTCTGCCCCAAGCACCCCCTGCCCTCATGAAACGTTTGTGTTCTGGGTTGCTTGTTGAGGAGGAAATAAGGTACGGTGACCAGACTGTTTCTCTGGGAATCTGTGGTAGCCCTTGGGGAGGTAGATGGGTAACTACCTCCTCAGACGGCCTGAACAAGAGCTGGCAAGAACTAGCAGCTGCTACTCAGGAGGCTGATGTGGAAGGGTGACAGGTTTGAGGTCAGGCTGTGCAGTGTAGCAAGCTGCTGTCTCAAAAAAAAGAGGGGGAGGGGACTAAGGATGTAGCTCAGTGGCAAGCCCCTGGGTGCTAAAATAACTAAATATAAAACAGAGAGCTGGCAGGAAGCTGAGGAGCCCATGCAAAGCTGATTTCTAAGCTGTCTTCTAACATCCCACTAAGGGTGCGTGGGAGCCTTTGCCTACCTAGGGTTTTGCCTGATGAGGTCTTTTTCTGTGGCTGGGCAGATGTAGTCAGCCTTCAGCCATCAGCTTCCAAAGAAGGACTTGCTCCCCAGCCCCTCCCTCCAAAACTTAACAGCAAGCATGCAGCTCTCTGTGGCCCGAGAATGCTGAGAAACATACGTGACTTTGGCTCCTCTGCTTGTGGAAGTCAGTGACCTCTTCTGGAGAGCTTCCTTCCTGGAGATGCAGGCAAGGAACCTGCTACCTGGGTGTGTTGGATGAAAAGAACTTCACTAATAATCATGCAAGAAAAGACCCATAAGATCCTAAGAGTGATTGCTGAAAGACACTTTTATTTATTTCAGAATGCTCATTTAAGTCAGAGAAGTAGTTGGCTTCAGTGTTAGTTTTGGAGGAGAAAGTCAGCCTCAACACTAGCAAAACAAGCACCCTTGTCTTCGAGTGTGGGAGATAAGAAAGAGAGACCTTCCCACAAAGACCTTCCCACAAAGATCTTGGAATCTTTGGCGCTTCTGGCACACTCCACCTGGTTAGTCCTGTTGATTGTTTTGAGAGCATCAACCTTAAACACATTCTCAGGGGAGCAAAGAGTGCAACCCCTAGGGCAAGCCCTCCCTGGTCCATGAGAATCTCTTCACTTCTAGGTCTCAGGGCGCTTTCTTTCTGGAACATGCTCCTGATCGGGCAGCAGTTCATTTCACATAGGGAAGGAGGAGAGGTGAGCAGTAGGTGTTTTAGTATCATGAGCCACCAGGTGAGGAGAAGGGTTACCAGCAAAGTCAGCTTCTCTTTCTAGAGCCAGCAAACTTGGTGTCAATAGACAGGCCTTTGCCACCTGTGGAATGGGACTAAAAGGTACCTGGTAGGATGTTACTTTGGTGATCTGGTTAATATCTGTAGGCCCAGGAGTGCCTCCTCAGTGTGAATGTTAGGGAACCGTGTTACCCACTGTGCCTTCTACTTTACTCCCAGAAGCACTGAACTCTTCCAACAAGCTCCTGGCTTTCTCCCCAGCTGTGATAAGAAAACAGCTATTTCATTATCTCTTTTCTTATATTCTGTCCAATTACTCTGAGACAAGGAGTGTGGTGACCGTGCATTTATTTCTCTTCTATTTTCTCCCTTGGCCTAATCACCCAGGTTCCTAGACTTCATTCAGCTCAGGGTGGAATGATGCATATTAAACAAAAGGAAGGGGCAGAATTCCCAGGATGCCAGAGCTCCTGACAAGATCCCCCCAACCACATCTCCCTCTTTCCATCCATTCCCACTCCACCTGGCCAGATATGTGGATAACGCTGTCCATTTCGGCGCCTAGGCCTGCTTCTAGTCTTATATAGTTCTTGGTCAGAAATTTTTGGCTGTTGCCTAGAAGCCATTGCTTTTATTTCCTCTACTACTCTGTGCTTCTTGTTTATTGGGACAGTGCCCCAGATCCCGCACTATGCCCACCATACAGGATTCTCATCGAAAATTGTGATTTTTCCCATAACTGCTCCAAACCTTTAAGCGCTTAGTGCTTTGGGGGATTGAGATGTCTTTTGTGCTCTCTATTCCCATAACAGGACTATGTTTAGTTTTTACAGCTTCTGATAAGGCCATACCACTACAGAGTGTCTAAGAGCCTTGTGACAAGTCAAAGGCCCCAGAAGAAACTTAATGAAATTTTTTCATTTTTTCTCCTCCTTCTTCCCACTCTCCTCCCCAATCAGATAATCAGACTCCTTCTTAATGCACCTGTCTTCTGCAAGGCAGATCTTTGATCAAACTCGTGTCCTGCCTTTGTAGGAGGCCTGTCTGGGACCCACCCCTGCCTCCCACAAGACCATACCCGAGAGCCGGGCTCAAGATGAACCAGCACACTCTTAGCTCACGATGCTCCAGGCCACCCAACTGAACTGTGAGAGCCCAAAAATGTCTGCGTGCAGTGACTTTGTGGAGCACATCTGGAAGCCCGGGTCCTGCAAGAACTGCTTCTGTCTGCGGAGTGACCACCAGCTGGCAGCTGGCCGTCCCCAGCCCAGAACAAGCAGCCTGCCCCCTCCACCTCGCCTGCCCCCCAAGAGTGTGGAAGATGAAAGTGTGAATGGCTCACCCTATTGCAAGCCCACAATCGCTGTGAAACCCACCATGATGAGCTCCGAGGCCTCGGATGTGTGGACAGAGGCCAGCCTGAGTACTGAAGTCCCACAGGTGAGTCTGACTAATCCCTGTGGCATTTTCACAGGGGCTGCACCTATTCCAGCATTTAGTGGCTGGCTGGCAGCCAGAGAGGGTTGTTGGAGCAAGAATCCTGCAGGATGGCTTCTCGTCTACCTGTCCCGCGATTGCCTTTGCCCCACTGCTGATTGGCTATCACTACCCTCCCTTCTCTCTATCCCTCTAGGCTAATAACCATTAATCCAACCCTCCGATTTTCTCCTATGATTTTGAGATTTGTATAAGGGCAGACAGAAATGAAGCTTTGTTTAAAAAAATTAGCAATACAAGGGGCAAAAATTGTACAGTTAAGTTCCATACACCCACTGCTCCTTCAGTGACCAACTCTACTCATTTTGTTTTATATCTTCCCCCGTCTACATCCTTTCACTATGATTTAAAGCAGACCTCAAACAGCGCATCAGTTTAGTACATACCACTATGTTCCAAAGATAAGGTCTTAATAGAAGAAAAATCCAAATGCTAGCCGAACACTTGAAATATTAGCAGCAATTCATTATGATCATTTAGTATTCATCCAGGGTTCATACTTCTAATTTTAAAGCTTGGGCTTTACCAGCTTTAATCTAGGATCCCTAATACAATGACATCCTCAGCGGCTGGGTCTGTCTGTGCTTACAGCAGGTGACCCTTAGAAAGGTACAGCTATTCAGAGGGCACACAGGCGAGGGCTGCTGGAGTCTGCTGCCTCTGGACACGTCTCAGAGGCCATATGTCTGAGATATTCTAAGAACTGTTTGCTCCGTGTTGACCTCTGTGCATGTCCTAGTTTTCCCAGACCAGTGTGGTAGTAGGCCAGGAAGGGTGTGTGAGCCTATATGAAAACAAAGGTCAGTTTTGAATCAAGGGAGGCTTAATTGAAGAGAAGCATTTCCTGTGGTTGCCGTGTGCTCCCTGTCCTTTCAGGGCTACTCCTTTTCCCCTGACCTGGTCACACCCATTCCCCAAGGCATTGCTGACCCCCATCAACCTTCACCTGCATAAGCCAGGGCCTCTCCAAACTCAGCATTTTGTGGGAGAAGAGACAGATTCCTTGAAGATGCTTTGAAAGTGGTGGCGATGGGGATTTTAGAAGGGAAGAGGGGCAGTGACTTCAGTGATGCCGACAGCCAGTCCATATCTCTGCCTCATAGCTCGACTAGTCCAGCCATGCAGGAAGATTAGAACGGAGGTCTTCGCTGTTAATTGGGAAAAAGGGCAGCTCTTCCGCGAGGTCTGAAGGGCCCAGAAAGAAAAAAGGATGTCCTGACCTAACTCAGAAACCACTTCTCAGCCTCCTGCCCTGGCCCTACCAGCAACCCTAGGGGTTTTAGAAATCACCATGACTTCAGTTTCTTGAGGAATGCCCTGTAGAAAACAAAAGTTAAATAAAACCTGAAACTCTATTTTCTAACCCTGTAGAACAGTTGTTTTACTGGATACTTGTGAAGGAGAAGGCGATGTGTTCTTTTTTAGAGTTTTTCTTTTTTCCGGGCTTCCTGGACTTAAACCCGAAGCATTAGAGACCTCGGAGGGCAGGAGTTGAGGGGAGCACAGCTGAGGGTCTGGGAAGAGAAATGCCCTGTGGGTGTTGCAGCCCTGATCACAGGATGCGGGGAGATCAGAAGGTGGGTGTGTGCTGAGCTCACCCTGGGTCCACCTCCTGTGTGCCTGAACTATAGAAGACGTTGACAGTGTGGTGCGGCACTTAGCTCTTTTTCCCTCTTCTTTTTTTCTCTGACAGAGTCTAACGTAAGTCTTTTAACCTTGGCAGGTTATCTGGAGACGAGCCCATGGCAAACTACCCCTCCCAAAGCAGGAAGACGTGCCCATAGTCTACCTGGGCAGCTTCCGTGGCGTCCAGAAGCCTGCTAGCCCCTCTGCCTGTAAGGATGGCAGCTCTCACTGTCCGCCTGCCTATGCCATGGTTGGTCTGCACAGCCTGCAGGCGCAGGGGGAAAGGAACATGGCCTTCCACCCCGTGGGTTTCCCAGATGAGAAGGCTGGGCAGGAAGGGAAGCCCACATTTCCCTGCCAAGAGCTGCCCTCTGCGCAGGAGAGCTTCCGCCAGAAACTGGCTGCCTTTGCTGGGATGACATCTGGCTGTCACAAAGGCCCCAGGCCCTGCCCTTCTCCACAGCCCTTGCAGGAGTCCCTGCCCTCAGAAGACGAAAGTGATCAAAGGTGTTCCCCGTCTGGAGACAGCGAAGGTGGTGAATACTGCTCCATCCTGGACTGCTGCCCCAGGAGCTCGGCTGCCAAGGATACCGCACACTCGGAGAGCTCCCAGGGCAGATGTGGAAGGGGCAGCTCCTCCCCGATGTGCTGGGAGCAGGGATCATGTGCTCGGCCCCCAGAGGAGGAGAAGCAGAGTCCGAGCTTCCCCAGGGAGTGCTGTGGCCAGGGCCCCTCAGCACACCCCCCCCACCTGGGGCCCAAGAAGCCATCCCTCAACTCTGAGGCTGCCAGTTCTTCAGACGGCCTGTCTTGTGGCAGTGGCAGTAGTGGGGCCAGCAGCCCCTTCACCCCCCATCTTGAGAGTGATTACTGCTCCCTCATGAAGGAAGCTGTGCCGCCAGGGAAGCAGCAGGACTCTGCCTGCCGTGTGATCACCTCTAGCAGGTGCACGGAGTCCCAGCCCCCGGCACACCCCAGGGAGGCTGCACAGCCGGAACCCATCTATGCCGAGAGCACCAAGAGAAAGAAGGCAGTTCCAGTGCCTTCCAGGCCACAGGCCAAGGCAGAGCAGGCAGCTGCTGCTCAGGGCCAGGTACGGACAGGTGATGCCAGGGCTCAGAAAACCCCCTGTGTCTGGAGCCGGGACAGAGAAGGCTCGGATATGGCTCCCCAGGTGTCGGCCACCATCACAGTCATGGCCACCCACCCAGAAGAGGACCACCGGACCATCTACCTGAGCAGCCCAGACTCTGCAGTGGGTGTGCAGTGGCCGCGGGGGCCTGTGGGCCAGGACTTGGAGGCCGGCAAGGAGGAGCCTGTGGCTGGACAGGGGCCCAGCTCCAAGGAAAGCCATCCTCCTGACAGGTCTGAAAACACGCCCCAGGGGAGGCCCGCCATCCCCCCCAAGCTGTCCAAGAGCAGCCCTAGTGGGTCCCCGGCATCGCCATCTGCTTCCTCACTGGCTGACCCCAACGAGGGGAGCTCAGGCAGCAGCAAACCCCAGTCTTCATCCAGAGATTTGGCTGACCCCACTTCTTCCTGCCGGACCAGTGACCTTGCCAGGGGCCCTCCTCCTGCTGCCTCCACCTCAGCCTCAGACCAGAGGTGGCCCAGGTACCAGACCAGTGCCTGGAGTCGCCAGTGCCGCATCGAGGAGGAGGAGGAAGTGGAGCAGGAACTGTTGAGTCAGAGCTGGGGAAGAGAGATGGATAATGGCACTGTGGACCATTCAAACTCTTCTACCTGGCACCGTCTCCACCCCACCGACGGCTCCTCTGGGCAGAACAGCAAAGTCGGGACTGGGATGAGCAAGTCTGCCTCCTTTGCCTTTGAGTTCCCCAAGGACAGAAGCAGGATGGAGGCTTTCTCACCTCCTCCCCCACCTCCAAAGTCCAGGTGAGTACCAGTGTCTGTATGGGATGGCAGAGCCTGGCTCTGAGAGCGAAACTCCCGTCTGCAGGAATAGGGCCTCTGGCGGAAACCTTAGCTGCCTCTGTGGAAGGCTGTCAGGCCCAACTTGGAGTGCTTTCCTGCAGGGAACCCTGCCTACCCAAAGGCTACTGTGGCTCTATTACAATTACCCAGATCCGCCGTGTGGCCTTCGGGGAGCAGGAATTGTAGCTGATGCTTGTGCTCAGCAAACAAACCTTCAAGCAGGTCCCTGCTCAGATTGGGTATTTGGAATTTCTCAGCATCCAATTGGGGCTGGAGATGTAGCTTAGTGGCAGAGCCAGCCCCTACTTATGGCCATGGCCAAAATAAAAGCAGAAGAAGGAGAAGAAGGAGGACTAAGCTACCACTTTTTTGTGTTTGTGCTCATATTTTTATAACCCAGTACTCCTACTGTGTAGGCTTTTTGAACAACACCCTGAAACCTTTGTTTTGTTCAAACATGCAAATGAGATCTAAAGGAGGTTAGGGAGATTTGGGGAGGCAGAACTGACAAAGCCTGGTGTATGCTTAATAAACCTTCCCATGAAGCTGAGTGGGCCCTGGGGCTAAAGTTAGAACACAGGAAGCTGCTCAAGGTTGGTAACTCTCAGATGTGATTTTGTTAAGAAAAAAAAAAAGATAGTTTCACCTTAGCCTGTGAAACTCACAGCTTTCTCCGCTGCCTCGCCACTCTCCTGCCAGATTCAAGTGCCTTTCAAAGCCTCCAGAAAAATGAATGCCTTTCTGAAGCTATTGAGCTGTGCATAGAATTTAAATTCTGGAAAAAAGCCTGGTGAAAATAAAACTGACTTTTATCAGGAAAAGGAAAAACCTGCTTTTTTTTTTTAAATGATAGCTGTCTGAAGACTTTCTCTAGTTGTGTCACAGCTAGTGTGCTGTGTAGTGGCTATGCCCCTAGGTTGGTGTCAGAATAAGGGAAGTGACCACAGAGAGAAGCAGCTGTGACACTTGACTTTGAACATCAAGGCGTCTCAGGCTGTGATGTGATCTAACGTGGCTTGTTCTCGTGGCTATGACTTTGTTCCGGTATTGCATTGGCTGCCTACCATGCCGAACAGACATCTTCCAGACCCTCAGATGTTCCAAGGCTCTCTTTGGCTCTATGACTCCAGTCTGAACTCCCTGAATGAATGAGTGATTCAGCAGCCCGGATGAGCTCCTTTTTATATGGTAGTTACTGTGGGCCAGGCACGCATTTAAGGTTGTTAGACATAATAACTCACTGAACTTTTGGAGCAACCCAGGGAGGGAAGAATTACCAGCCCCGACCCACAGATGACTAAAGAGAGATAAAGAACTGTAGTAACCTAGGTAATTGACAGCTGTCCATCGCAACCATCGCATGTGCTCCTGAACAGACAGTGTGCAGCAGCAGGCTTGGTCACTGAGCAAGGTGTAAAGCACTGGTGTTCTACCTGTGTGCTTTTTTGTTAGTGCGTATTGGAAAGCATCAGCTGTGGTGCCATTCAGCCAAGATGTTATTTCATCTCCCTCACAGGCTGAGTGACCTTGAGCAAGCCATTCACTGTCATGTCTGCAGGTTTCTCTTTTCTAAAATGGTATGATAAAAATACTTGTAACACCCTATTATTGAAATGAGACGAACAGCAGAATCCAATGGGGAAGTTAGTTATGTAGGCAAAGGCCACCTTGCCTTGCTAACTGTGACACTGACACCTATTCATTATAATAGGAACTGGCTCAGCCCGGCCCAGTCCCTGGAAACACCACCTGACCCTTGGAGAAGCAACTAAAACTTTCTCACTAAAGAATCATGAGACCTGGGAAAAGCCTGGTAACCATAGCAACATGACTCGGGAAGAGTTCTAATTAGCATCTGGGTTGAAATCAGAGTTTTTAGTCTAGTGCATTATGATGAAATGCTTGGATTCTATATGGCATAAATTAGGTGGGAATCTCAGCTCTTCTGGATTCTACCTCTTAAAGAACAAAACAAAAAGACAAAATAGTTTTCAGAGAACTTAAATTAAAAAATAAAGTTAATTGAAGGAAACATTCAAAGGAGCACCTCGTACTGTTTAAAGTAAGTCGAACAAGCTTATTCAGGGAAGCATTTTTCATATTTTAAGCATTCCTGACATTATCTTTTGAATCTTCACATCTCCCATGTGAGAAGATTCAAGGGCAGGCTTGGAACCACAAGCTGACTGCTAACCTTGGAACCCGGTAACCTGGAGTTGGGTGCCCTTTGGAGAGGGTGCCATGAACTCTGAAGTCTTCAAACCTAGCAGATCAGGTTGAGGTATAAGCTAATCATTGTGTTAGTGAGACCACAGACCGTATTTGGTCCAGTACCGATACCGTTATACACTGGTATCATGGCAGGTCAATATCCAAGTGGAAAATGTTCACATCTTCAGGCAACATAGGAGGATAAGCTGATTTCTTCTCATGGGTGCATCTGTTAAATGGGTCCTATTTCTGAAGACGGGATTCCTTACGTCCGTTACATATGCTTAGAACTCTAGAGAGAGGGGTTGCTTCATGCAGCACAGGCTTAATGTCTGCTTACACAGTGCGGAGAGACAGATCCACCTGCTTTCTTGGGCCATTATGGATAGAAAATAATTTCCTGGGTTGCCTATCCTCCTGTTTTACAAAACTGACTCTGACTTGACTTTTCTATGGTTCTCCTGTTTGAATGTTAGACAGTAGCTTTCTATGCCTTTGAGATATTATCCTTTGCAAACTGTCATTTGTGCTCTGTGATGTCCTGCAGAATGAAGACTCTGCTTGCCCAGTTAAAGTACTGAAGGGCCCACTTTGGAGGTGTTTGGATGTGCGCCCTCCTTCTGGGCAGGTAGAAAGAGGCTGGGCTCTTCCTGCCCCGTTGCAGCCCAGGAACTAACTCACATGAGCTTTGAGTGGTGAACTTCAGCACATTTCTAGGTCTCCCTGCCCCAGTTTAGGATGGGGCCACAAGGTGAGGACTGACATGGACTCTTGCTTAGGAAACAAAAAACTGCAGCCAATAAGGGTAGACTTTTAGTTTAAACAGCACTTTCAAGATTGAAAGCAGCTTAATGAAAGCTGCAGGGGCCTGGGGGGGACATTAAGATACGAAAGAATCTGCTTTCTTTCCACCCTTTATTTCTCTGCAGATGCAAACTTAGCTGGAAGTGACTTAAGACTTTTGAGTGACAAGGTCAGTCGAAGGAGACTCATCTGTTTTTTTCACAAAGAAACCCTAACTTAAGATGATAGGCCTGAGCAGGGTGTAAAAGTGAGAGTGTTAGGTGAATAAGAAGTAAGATGGGTTTATGTGGTTTCAGTTTCTAAGTGTTCTGGTCCCAGGTGCAACTAATCAAAAGAAAGCTTTCTCCCAAGCCAATGAGAGATACTTTTGTTTAAAGTTAACATTCAAGACAGTTACCACTTTCAGTCACTACCTGGTAAATTCTTCTCTTCCTCTTGGGAACGCTGAGGAGCAGGGCCCAAGTGTGTCCCTGGGCTTTTGCTCATCCCTCAAGACCTTTTCCAGGTCCCTACAGACAGGTAGAGGTAATGTCATAATTGGAGCTCTTGTCAGTCACAGGAGCAGCCACTTTTGTAAGAGGAGAACCGAAGTGACTTCATTGTGTGATCTCCTCTGTAACATGGTTTCTTGGCATGAGGCCGATGAGGGGAATAGAGGGAGTGAGATGATCATTCATCTCCAGACTCCATAGCCAATCTTTGTGCTTCATCTCCAGACTCCATATCCAATCCAAGTGCTTTCCACTGTAGAGACTTGCAGGGGGTACCAGTTTAGTAGGCAGTCTCAGACTCCACGCTTCCTGAGCTTATCTGCATGGTGGTTTGAAAATCACAGTTTGTATTAGGAAACACTGTATTTAAAGAATCTTCTCTATGTTTAGCCCGTAGACTAAATTTAAATAAGCAGGCTGGAAGTAGAGCTGGTCAGGAGAGAATGAATAGCGGGTGTACTCCGGTGGGAGAAACTACCCTTCCTCTCAATACATAGAATTTGACAAATAGAACAAAGTACATGTATCAACAGTGCAACTTTATGTTGCACCCCATGGCAGAGACAAATTAACAACTGGCTCATTCCCAAGACATGAAAACAAGGACAACTCCTGTGCCATCAATCATAATTGATTTCTATTTTCCTGTTCTCTATTTTTTTAATTGCTGATTTGATAGCACTATATATAAAACTTTTTAAGATCTTCTTTGAATGTACCTCCTTGACTAAGGATTAGAGATTCTTTACTTCATCAGACATCTACTGTGTGTGTGTGTGTGTGTGTGGGTGGGTGGTTGAATTGAACCCAGGGCCTTGTGCATGTTAGGCAAAGACTCTATCCTTGAGTTCCATCTCCCGCCCTAGTTGCTTACTATTTTGGGAGCTCTGTGAGGTCCTTAAAAACCCACTTACTGGGGTTCTATCCCTTCAGGATTGTAAGGGTTGAATTGGTATGAGAATTCATGATCAGAAAATAGGCAATATGGCAACCAAGGCTTCACCTCTGCTTTGATTGCCTTTGAAGAGACTGGTTTATAGAATCTGGATTCTTACTACATTCTGTGTTATATTCAGTAACACAAAGGTAAACACAGCTTTATGTGCAGCAGTAGTTACAGTTCTCTCTTTTGCCAAGATTACAACAGAATTGTAAATAACAATTTATATTAAAAAAATAAAGGCCAAGAGCTCCTTGAAGATAAAGGGCAAGTTTAACCATCTGTAATTCTAGGAAGACTAGCTTGGTATCTGGCACATAGTAGATACTCAAGAAATATTTATCACATTGTCAGTAGCAGGTGGAGACCATGCCCCATTTATTTCATTTTCCAGAAAAGCACCTGACTTCATGCTTGGCAAATAACAGGTGCTCAAGAAATACTGAAAAAAAGAAGCAAGCAGCTTTGCATATGAAGTGTCCATCTGAAATCAGGTTCCTGGTTGTCCTGGTACT